TTGTATTGTGATCTATAGGTTTTCATTGGCTAATATTCTGAAGTAGATCACCTAGTCTGTCTGAGTCTTGAAGCTCAGTTGAAACCTGTCCACCATGTTTGACCCTGCTGTTGTTTGAAATATTGGTGCCATATCTTCAAGCATCACAGCACCATAAAGCACCACAAGACACAAAACAAACCAAAAGGCAAGTGGTAGGAAAAAGACATTCATTTGTTCAAATTCAAACTGTACCAAAAAGTATACTTAGAAAAATCTCAAACTCATCCCTATCTCTTTTGTCCTACCTCACCTATGTCCCATAGGGTAACTACTTTCATTAGTTTTTACTATACAATTCCTGTGGTTCTTTTTGTTGAAACAAAAAGAAAAAACATCCCAAATGTGTAATTTTCCTTTCACACAAATGGTAACATCCTTTTGCATATTGCTTTTCACTTAACATGGTACGTGGGGAATCATTCCCACATCAGTTCACAGAGATCTCTGTTCTTTTTGGCGGCATATTATTCCTTTGTATGGATGCACTGCCCTTTATTTAACCAGCCTTCTATGAATGGGTATTAACATTCTTTCCATGATTTTACTATTAGAAATAATTCCACAATAATAACCTTGCACATATGATGTTTCATATTCATGGAGGGAAGTCAGTGATTACACAGTAAATGCATTAGTAGTTTTACAGATGTTGGTAAATTTCCTTTCTTCCCAATAGCAATTTATCAGAGTGCCTAGACTTGTGCTGGTTATAGCAGTTCAATACTTTTGTATAATCTTTTATAGCTTTAAAACACAGACATATGTTTATATATATGCACATAGGTATATACTCACATGGGAGCTCTGGTAGCATAGTGGCTAAGACACTTGCCTGCTAACCAGACGGTTGGCGGTTCAAACCCATCAGCCACTCCTCGGAAGGAAGGTTGGGCAATCCTACTTCCGTAGTGATACTGCCTCGGAAACCCAAGGAGGGGTCGCTATGAGTCGGGTTTGACTTGACGGCACATAACAACAACAATATACTCACATATATCACATGTATGTTTGTTCTCATTACTATAACAGTTAGATAGAGTTAACTGTGAGTGTAGAGGAAGTGGAGGCTGAGAGAGCTTACCTTTCCCAAAGTCTCTTGGCCTCTAAATGGCACTGCTGAGAGCTGCAGCAAGCCCTTTATGTCTTACTCTGGTTCTCTTTCTACTGTCCTGTATATAGTCTTGGGATGAGGGTCAGTGGTAGAATTCTTGGTTTCCATGGGGAGACCTGGGTTCAATTCCAGACCAAAGCATGTCATGTGAAGTTACTACCTATCTGTCAGTGATGGTTTGTGTGTTGCGATGAAACTGGTTAGGTTTTAGCAGAGCTTCCAGACTAAGACAGGACTAGGAAGAAAGGTCTCTTTTGTTGATCTACTTTTGAAAATGAGCCATTGAAAATCCTGTGGATCACAGTGGTCTGATCTTTAGCCAGTCATGAGATGGCACAGGACCAGGCAGTGTTTCATTCCATACATGAGGTTGCCATGAGTTGTAGTCCAGCTCAACAGTGGCTAACATAGTCTTGGGACAGCACAGGAGAGGGTTGAAGGTGAGCAAAATACGTGTCTCAGGTTGATTAGTCTAGGGAAGCCAAGGCTGATTTGAGTTTTAATTTTATCACCACAAAGAAACTTTGTGACACCCACTAGCGGCCCCAGATTTTTAATCTATAAAATGAATTCCTAATATTCATATATTCCAGAGACAATGTGAATTTAAAAATAGGAGCACACTTTGGCTGTTGGAAGAAAAAAGTCCTTTCCAAAATGCAATAGAATGCTACTTTTGTTACTACCTTAAGAGTTAGCGCATATGGCATTGGGGTACCAAGAAAGTGACTGTTTCAGATTAGGGAGCTCTTTAAGGTAAAGGAAATTCCACAGGTGGCAGTGGAAGCCAGGTGACATTCTTTACCTCCCAGGATCACTTGCTTCTCATCTCTAGGGGTGAATCCTGTTGAAGTGCCTACAGAAGTGGCCAGGGCAGCAGGATGGGAAGGTCTCTCAGGCCCTCAGTGCTAGGGCTCACAGAGATTTGGTGCTGGCTATAACCAGGGAATCTCTTTTTTGATTATACAGAGCTTGACTTAAATTCCAGGAAAGTTCACCTATCTCTGACCATAATGGAGAATAAAGAAAGAAACATTTAAAATACACATGGAGCAAAGAGCTAGTTTCTTAGTTTGTAACTGAAGACTGGTGAAATAAATTGTGATTTAGGGCAGAGGCCTGAAATTGCTCTTCCCTGCCAAAATAAATTGATTTCTTTGGCTGTCTGAACTTCATTTCTTGAACCGGACAGGAGCTAACCCAGTCTAAACTAAACTCATTTTCCATTAATAAAACTGGGTCACTTCAGGCTGCCTGAGTGTGCTTCTGTGTCTTAAAGCATGTTCAGAAAACTGTCCTGTTCTTTCCCATGTATTCATAGCCCATGTAATGGGGCCTGCATAACACATTGTTTGCGTTTGTGATAGATTTGGAGGGCAATGTGCATATTAGCATTTGGAGTCTGTTTCTGAGCTTCATTAGCACCACCAGGATGACCATGAATTCCAGTGGTGGGAGGGCTCTGCCTAACACCTGCTAAAATAAATCAAAATAAACCCATTGCCATTGGGTTGATTTGAACTCATGGTGAACCCATGTGCTGTACAGAGTAAAAGTGCTCTGTAGGGTTTTCTTGGTTATAATCTTTATGGAAGCACATCACCAGGTCTTTTTTCCATGGTATTGCTAATTAAGTCTGAACCACTAACTTTCAGATTGTTGTTGTTGTTATGTGCCTTCGAGTCAGCCCTGACTCATAGCGACCCCTCCTTGGGTTTCCGAGGCAGTATCACTACGGAAGTAGGATTGCCCCACCTTCCTTCCGAGGAGTGGCTGGTGGGTTTGAACCGCCAGCTTTCTGGTTAGCAGTCAAGTGCTTTAGCCACTATGCTAGATTAGTAGCCCATAATAAACTGCCTTGCACTACCCAGAGACCAAAGAAGAGATGCCAGATGGAAGCACTGGCAGGGAGCTACCACAGCTCATTGTCTGGCCCCACCTTTGTCTGCCTGGCTTCTTGCCCAGGGGGCTTGACCTCAGACCAGGCAATTCAACCCTGCTTTACCCAAAGAAAGGAGTTCTGGTAGCGTAGTACCTAAGGAATCTGACTGCTAACCAGAAGGCTGGCGGTTCAAATCCACCAGCCACTCCTTGGAAGGAAGATTGGGCAATCTACTTTTGTAGTGATACCACCTCGGAAACCCAAGGAGAGGTCACTAAGTCGGAACTGACTCGACGGCAGTGAGTTGCTCAAAGAAGGTGCTCTGGTAGTGTAGTGGTTTAGACATTTGTTTGCTAACCAAAAGGTCAGTGGTTCAAACCCACCAGGTGCTCTTTGCAAGAAAGATGAGGCAGTCTACTTCTGTAAAGACTTACAGCATTAGAACCCCAAGGAGGGTTTTTATGAGTTGAAATTGGCTCGATGGCAGTGAGTTTGGTTTGAGTTTTGCCTAAAGTGGAGTCCCTGGTGGTGCAGTTAACACACTTGGCTGCTAATTGAAAAGGTTGGATGTTCGAATTCACCCAGAGGCACATTGGAAGAAAGGCCTGGCGATCTACTTCTGAAAAATCAGCCATTGTTGTCTCTATGGAACAGTTTTACTTTAACCACACGGGGTTACCTTGAGTCAGAGTCAACTCAATGGCAACTAGTTTTATCTCAAAATAAGCCTGTTTCCACTGCTCCCTGTCTCAGTTTCTGACTGTGGGCATCTTTGAATTGTTATATTTCAAAGCCTTTATTTACAAGTAGAAGGCAATAAAGTAGATCATGGGCGTTGTTGTTACATGTCGTTGAGTCAGACCTGACTCATGGTGACCCCTCCTTGGGTTTCCGAGGTGATATCACTACAGAAGTAGTTTGCCCAACCTTCCTTCCAGGGAGTGGCTATTGGGTTTGAACTGCCAGCCTTCTGGTTAGCAGTCAAGTGCCTTAGGCACTACGCTACCACAGCTCCCGATCTTGGGCATTGTTGTTGTTATATGCCATAGAGTCAAACCTGACTCATAGCGACCCCTCCTTGGGTTTCCGAAGCAGTATCACTACGGAAGTAGGATTGCTCAACCTTCCTTCCGAGAAGTGGCTGGTGGGTTTGAACTGCCAGCCGTCTGGTTAGCAGGCAATTGTCTTATCCACTATGCTACCAGAGCTCCCAATCTTGGGCATAGGAAGCAGTAATTAAAAGAATGTGAAGGCCTGAGTAAAATGATTTGAGAGGAGCTTAGTTTAGATAGGTCAGCACATTTCTGCATGGAGCTCTGTCTCACTGAGAAGGTGATGGCTGGCCCTTGGCCTCCTGGCACTTATTGAAGGTATATGGGAGAGAGTTGGACTCTAGGTAGGGAGCTAGAGTGCACTGAGCCTCCTCCTCAGCTGGTGCACACGGTCCTGTAGTCCTCTGGGGCTCTGAGTTCTCTGCAGTGGCAGGTGCTGGGCTTCCTTTTTCCTCTTTCTCACCCCTGCACGTGAGAGAGGATGGGGTGCTGCTAAGAGAATCCTGAATGTAAAGATCTAGAAATGTTTAAGCTATGGAAAACTGTCTTTCAAAGATGAAAACTGAGGGGAAGTGGAAATCTTTATAGTATTTTATTTCTGGCATCTTCTAGATATCTGAAGTGCCCTACTATGTGGATTTTAAAAAATGGATTGTCTTTCATTTAGTTTTTTTAATGTCACAGTCATGTTCATTGTATTTAAAGGTATGATGTGCAGGAAAAATCGGGAAAATAGATATTTTCCTCTTAAGAAAATTGATGAAAGTAAGTGAGAGGAAGGCGGTGGATCTCTCCTCTATTTCATGATCTCCCTTCAGCCCCTGTTAATACCCACTCATCCTTCCTTTTTATGTCTTTTCAACAATATTCTGAGTATTTACCACTGACACAGTTCTCTTCCTTCTCTTTCCAGTGCACAGAGGCCAAAAAACATTGCTGGTATTTTGAAGGACTTTATCCAACATATTATATGTAAGTATTTGCCCTCTCCTGCTTGTTTGACTCTGTGGCCACAGTTTTTCTCTGGGAATGTTTTCTTTGCTGGACATAGGACTAGGCTGTGACAGAGAAAGCACAGGCTTTGCCCACTTTCCACTCTGGTTTCAGCTCTGCCTCTGCTGGTTTTTGAGCAAATGACTATCCCATCAGCATTAACCTGCTTTGACTTTGAAGACTATATGAACTAATGTGTGCTCTGCCCTGTAGTGCAAACTAGCTTATACATGATTGGCACAAAGAGCAAGATGACTGAATAATGCAAAAGTTAGGTTAGTTTATTCACAATTTTTCCTAGGCAAAGGGAGTGAGGATATGGGAATAGAAATAACCTTCAGCAGGACAGGTAAAAGTCCTCAGCTCAGCTTCTGTGGTGGTGTGTGTGTGTGGGTATGTGTGCATGCATGTGTGCATGCATGTGTATATGTGCATAAGAGTAGGAATATGGGTACATGTGTATTGTGTGTGTTTGTGAGCATGTGTATGTATGCATGTGCTTGTTCTTGTGTATGTGTGTATAAAGGAGTCCTGGAGAAACAGTAGTTAAGTACTCAGTTGCCATCCAAAAGATTACCAGTTCAAACATACTCAGTAACTCAGGAGCTCAGGAGGAAGATCTGGCAGTCTGCTTCCATAAAGATTACCCACTGCCATCGAGTTGATTCCAACTCGTAGCAATCCCCATAGAGTTTCCAAGATTGTGAATCTTTACAGAAGTAGATTGCCCCATCTTCTTCCCACAGAGCAGCTGGTGGATTTGAACTGCTGACCTTTGGTTAGCAGCCCCGTGCCTCACCTGCTGTGTTGCAGAGCTACTTTCCGTAAGGATTACAGCCTAAGAAATCCTATTGGGCAGTTCTACTCTGTCCTGTAGGATCACTGTGGGTTGGAATCAGCTCGATAGCATACAACAACAGCATGTGTGTATATACATCAGTATGCATGTTTTTATGTTTGTATGCATGTGTATGTGTGTGTGTGTTTAAAATCACAATTGCCTGCCCCCAAGGTCCCCTGCAGAAAAGGTTTGGTGACATCCTGGCATGGCTTCTGGCTCTTGGCAGGTTATGCTTCTTCCAGTGCCCACCACAACTCTGCCAGCCTTGCTCTAATTAAACATTGCCAGAATTTCCCCTTGGTTATTTCTATGTTATTTTTCTTAGCCTCTGTGGTAGATCCCAGCTATGCTTAGGTGGCCAGATTCTCTGTCCATGTTATCAATGATTGTTTTTTGAAGTTCCCTGGGTTTTGAATGGAATGCCCCAAACAGATTTTCCCCAAATACCTGTATTGTTTGCATAGAATTTTGCAAAACGTGAGATTTTTCAGCAATGCATGGATCACATTATAGCAGTAACACTGTATATTCTAACACATGGGTGTTCACAAAATGCATTTATAATCTATGGGGATGTGACAGTAAGTACATAATAATAGCAAAGATAAACCAGTGAGGGTTATTTATTAATTGGTAGCATGTACCTTTTTTTTACCTGCCTCCCCCTTTTAAATTTTTTATAGTGCTTTTAGGTTAAAGTTTACAGAGCAAAGTTTTTGCATTCACTTGTACTTATTAGTGTTCCATGACATTGGTTATATTCCCCACAATGTGTCAGTATTCTCCCCATTTCTTCCCTGGGTTTCCTGTTCCCTTTGGTACAAATTTTCTTCCCATTTCTTTCTTCTCATCTTTTGATCTTACATAATTGATTTTTCTAAGGAACATGTTCCTCTTGGGTGGTATTGTTTGTTTTATGGGCCTATTATGCTGATAGGTGGTCTCCAGGAATGGCTTCAGTTCCAGGTCAGAAGAGTGTGTTAGGGCCATAATCTTGGGGGTTCCCCAGTCTCTGTCAGACCAGTAAGTCAAATTTCAAATTTAAGAGATGAACGTGGAATGTCTTTAAAAGGATTATGTGTTTTGGATTATGTGTTTATCTGAATGTACTATGGCTGTTAGGAGCTCTGGTAGCGTAGTGCCTAAGGCACTTGACTGCTGACTAGAAGGCTAACGGTTCAAACCCACCAGCCACTCCTCAGAAGGAAGGTTGGGCAATCTACTTCTGTAGTGATACTGCCTCGGAAACCCAAGGAGGGGCTGCTATGAGTCGGGTTCAACTCGACGGCACATAACAACAACCACCACAACAAGAAATTTCTATGACTGTGCCCTGTGTGTTCTATTGTATATATTAGTATACATGCAGCACTTAAAATTACATATATATCCACAACTAAACCTGTATGTGCAGGTAGGTGTGCTCCCTTACACCTTCCCATACCTCTTAAGCATACCTATCTATGTATCCATTTGTAAATTATTGTTTGTTAATACTAATGTTGCAGGATTTTCTACATTATAGTAATTACCATGATGTTGTTGTTATGTGCCGTCAAGTCAGATCCAACTCATAGCGACTCCACCTTGGGTTTCTGAGGCAGTATAGCTATGGAAGTAGATTGCCCAGCCTTGCTTCTGAGGAGTGGCTGGTGGGCTTGAACCGCCAGCCTCTTGGTTAGCAGTCAAGTGCCTTAGGTACTGTGCTAACAGAGTTCCTGGTAATTTCCATAGTTGCCCTTTATTCTTGCTTTACCTTTAGTGTTTTCCTTTGCCTTGGTCATATTATGCTGACTTCCTCCATATTGTGTGTTGCCTTTCACGTCATCATTATTGATCCTTGTCTTCTATCTAGTTAATAATTTTACCCCTTTCCCACTCCTGGTAGCCATCAAATAATTTTTTTTTCTGTGTGTAAACCTTTTCTTATTTTTTATGATAGTGGTCTCATAATGTTTGTCCTTTTGTAATTGATTTCACTGAGCATAATGTCCCCCAAATTCATTGGTGGTGTAAGATGTGTTCAGATTGTTGTTATTCTTTATTGTTGTATAGTATTCCATTGTGTGTGTATATACCACAGTTTGTTTATACATTCGTCCGTTCTTGGGCAGTTAGGTTGTTTCCATTGTTTTCCTCTTGTGAATATTGCTGCAGTGAACATGGACGTACATGTGTTTGTGTCATGGCTCTTATTTATTTATAGTATATACCTATATACTATATAGTATATACCTAGGAGTGGGATTGCTGGATCATATAGTGTTTCTATCTCTACCTTCTTGAGGAAGTTCCATACCATTTTCCATAGTGATTGTCCCATTTTACATTTCCACCAGCAGTGTATAAGAGTTCAAGTTTCCTCACAAGTGTTGAAATTTTAAGAGATTAGACCCTTGTTGTTTATATTGTAGTGCCCCCTTTTTTTCCCCTGGCCTGTAGATTCTCTTTTTACTCTTTTAAAGAAGTCTTTTGATGAGCATGAAGTATTTAATTTTTATGACATCCCATTTATCTAGTTCATCCTCTGCTGTTGGTGTATTTTTAGTTATTTTTGGTATTCTATTGATGCTCTATATTAGGACCCCTAGCAGTGTCTCTTTTTTTTCTTTTCTGATCTTTATAGTTTTAGGTTTTATATTTAGGTCTTTGATCCATTTTGAGTTAGTTGTTGTATGTGGTGTGAAGTATGGGTCTGTGGTGTAGTAAATTACCTAGTATGGCTTTTCTAGCCGTAAGTCTTTTTAAACTCCATGGTGGAATTTGCCATGAGCAACTGAGTAGCTCCTGATTGTTAAAGTTATCCACTTGGGGTTGGATAATTTTTAAACACTGCTGTTGTGAGTGGCATGAAGCAATCTTCTGGGAAGTTCTCTCTCTCTCAGGTATATAGAATTCTGATGTTGGGATTGGTTAGTTTGGCCTCTCTCCCAGGCTCAAAAGGAGCCCTCCTAGAGGCAGAAGGAGTCTCTCTGACTGCTGGCTGAGAAAGACATGCTGCTGAGAGAAATGCGCTCCTGAGAGACACGCACTTGCTGAGAGACATGAGAGACATGTGCTGCTGAGAGAGAGACACTGAGAGACACGCACTGCTGGGAGAGAGACTGAGAGAGACTGTTAGCTGAGAGACAGTGGGGTGTGAGAGACAAGGTGTGTTCCTGAACTTGAATTGTACCCTGTTGCTTCCCTTATAAACCCCATAATCTGTGAATTCTGTGTAGCCACTGCAGTGAATTACTGAACCCAGCAAAGAGGTGGCGAGTACGGTGGGAGGAACAGTTGGTGTCAGGGTTGATGAAAGGGCTGGAGTGGGGCGGCATGTCCAGCCTTCCTTGCAGGGATAGGTCTTGGGCTACTGATGGTGATTCTGTCTTCCTCTTGTGGGGTTAGAAGATGTGGCCTCCTTTCCCCTTTGGCAGGGTCCTATTTCATTTTTCTTCAGGTACACACATACTTTTGCTGCACTATTGTTAAAGAAACTGTCCTTTCCCCATTTAATGGTCAAAGATCAGATTTCCATAGGTGAGTGGATTTACATCTGGATTCTCAATTCTGTTCCATTGGTCTGTGGGTCTGTCAATATACCAGTATCAGGCTGTTTTGACTACCATGGCTATATAGTAGGTTTTGAGTAGTATGAGACCTCCTACTCTGTCTTTCTTTAGTAATGCGTTAACTTTTCCAGGGCCTCTTTCCTTTCTATATAAAGTTTGTAATTAGCTTTTCATCTCATGCTGTTGGAATTTGTATCGAGATTGCATTGTATCTATAGATCGCTTTGTGTAGTATTGATTTTCACAATGTTAAGTCTTCCTGTCCATGAGCATGGTATGTTTTTCCATTTATGCAGATCTCTTTTGGTTTCTTGCAGTAGTGTTTTGTAGTTTTCTTTGTGTAGGTCTGTTATGTCCCTAAAGACTTATTAGATTTATTCCTATGTATTAGATTTATTCCTATGTATTTTAACTTTTTGGAAGCTTTTATAAATGGTATTATTTTCCTGATTTCATTTTCAAAGTTCTCTTTTGTTGGTGTAGAGGAATCCTACTTAGTTTTGTATGTTGATTTTGTATCCTATTTTCCTGAATCCTCTGTTAGTTATAGAAGCTTTCCTGTGGAATTTTTGGGATTTTTTTGT